CGTTATCGCTGGCCCCAGGACAGATCATTGGATATGGCCTGGGGACCCCCAACACCTGGGGGCCTTCCTTTAAGCCCACAAAAGGGGGCAGAACCATATCTGCAAGACAAAGACCACAGAAGGTTATAAAAAGTGAAGCCCTCTGCGTGTTTCTTCACTCTGATTTGGAAATTATTCCCAGAGTCCACTAGTGTTAATAAACGAGGTCCTTCCCTTTCTCTAGGAAGCGTGCTTGGTATTTCTTTGGTCTTCTGCAACATTTGTTCCCTGACCGGGAAGCTAACTGCGTTTGGCTCTTGCCTCCGGTGAGTGGATGGGGTTTGGGGCCAGGGGCGCTGGACAGGCCTCCGGAAGGTGCGTGCTGCTGATTTTAGCAGAATTGAACCTAGGGGAACTCCAGGCACTCCCAGACCTCAGCCCAGGACCCGGCCGGCATCTGGAGAAAGTGGACGGACACCTCTGGACCTGTCAACAGATTCAGTAAGGTAGGGACACCAGTCAGTCAGGCCCACTCCAAATGAGTGGAAGGGGAGCTTGATCACCTCCCCGGAAGTCATAGGACTTCGTCAGGTAAATCAGGAATCAGGACTCCGGAGGTGAGTGAATTCAGATTTGATTAAGGACTTATGGGTTCACTCTTCTATTTGTTTGTGTGTGGGACTAGCCAATTTGCTACCGAGAAGGGGGGCTGGATGCAGTCTTAACTCCTCCAGTAGGTTCTCACTGAGATGTCGGTCAAGAATTCTGTTCTGGGGAATGGGTGCCAGGAGTGCACCCATGCCCATCTGGGGAGTTGGGCATTATCTGCTCAGCTCCAGTCTGGGCTAGGCTACTGAGAGAGTGTGAGTACGGATGTTTGTCTGTCTTGGCATAATTATCTGCTGATTAACTGGTCTGTGTGAAAGCGAAAGCCACTTTTATTTTCTGTTTGCTCATCTGGTTAAAACCTTTGATTTACTGAAGGCTGAACCCCTGATGGTCTGCAAAAGTCTCAAGCAGCGCTGTTGAGTTAGTTTTCTCAGAGACGTTTGCTCTCTATCATGGAGGGATAGTTGATAAAAATTTCTATCTATGTTTGTGTACTAGGGGCTTTGGTTTGCTCTGTGATTTTGCTGTGTTAAGTTGAAATTTTGGAATTCTGGGGTAGATTTAAAGGTATTTCTGGCTTTTCTTGTCTCTTTTGGCTGGCTGGGACTTTCAGGTGTGGGGCAGAGAGATTTTACCCGCCTTGCCCCTGCCTGTGCTGATTAAGGATCTTTTCTTTAAGGAGACCCTCCAGAATTTTAGTAAATTTCCCTGCACCCTTGTCTGTCTCTCACCACCAATCATCATGGGGTTGGGACAAAGTAAACCCACTGTTCTCAATTGCATGTTGGAAAAATTTTAAAAGGGTTTTATTGAAGACTATGGTATTAAAATGAACCCCAAAACACTGAGGAAATTCTGTGAATTAGAATGGCCAGCCTTTGGGGTCAGTTGGCCCCCGGAAGGCTTTTTAGATGTAGGACTGGTCAAGGTGGTCTAGAATGTAGTCACGACAGACCCCAGGCACCCAGATCAGTTCCCCTACATAGACAGCTGTTTAGGAATTGCTCAAACCTTGCCACCTTGGGTCCGGTTCTGTAAGGTTTTAGTAGTAGGAGAAAAGAAACAGGTCTCTCAGAAGGGAACCCAACCCCTTGTTCTGCCAGGATAACCTGAGGAAGTCCTGCTGGTTTTACCATTTCCATATGTGCCACAGGCAGCACCAAGTGCTTCCCCAGCTGGTCTTAAAGGTCCAGAAACACTGCCCGCTTCCGTTTCTCCTCAACTAGGCTCTCCAGAACCAGTTGGGCGGCGCTTGCATTCAGCCTATCAAGGGCCCAGGCCACAACCAGCACATCAGATGCCTCTAAGGGAGATTTGGGGTGCCAATGTAGTTGGCAAAGATGGGACCTTGCAGGAGGGAGGGCCAGTCTATTATTATCAGCCCTTTACCATCAGTGACATCTTGAATTGGAAACATCACACCCCAGCTTATTCTGAAAAACCTCAGGCCATGATAAACCTCCTAGAAATGATCTTCCAGTCCCAGAAGCCCACCTGCATGGTCTGCAAGCAGCTCCTTTTCACGTTCTTTAACACTGAGGAGCGCATGAGAGTAGTAACAAGAGGCTCAGAAGTAGCTCCAGACCCAGGCCCCGGCAGGAATATTAGATACAGATAGATGGGCCAGGAGGGCCTTCCCAGATGAGGAACCCGATTGGAACTCAAACTCAGAAGATGAAAGGACCAGGCTAGAAAGATATCGGCTAGCCTTCCTCCAGGGTGTCAGGGCCGAAGCCAAGAAGCCCACCAACATGGCTAAAATCTCTGAGGTTTACCAGAAGCCTGATGAAAGTCCAGCAGCTTTCTATGAGAGCTTATGTGAGGCATACTGGATCTACACCCCCTTTAGACCTGAGGCTCCAGACAATCAAACCATGGTAAATGCTGTTTTTGTAGGCCAAGCCCAGCCTAACATCAGGAGAAAATTACAGAAACTGGAAGGGTTTGCAGGAAAGAATGCTACTGAACTGCTAGAGATAGCTAACAAGGTTTTCATCAATTGAGACAGTGAAGCAAGGAAGGAGGAAGAAAAGAGAATACCAAGAAGGTCCAATAAATAGCAGTGGCTTTTAGAGGCTCAGGCTCCCAGACAGATCAGCAAGGATACAGACCAGGGGGAAAAGGAAGAGTGAGCCTGAGACGAGACCAGTGTGCCTATTGTAAGGAAACTGGACACTGGAAGAATGATTGTCCCAAACGGCAAAGTAAAAAGACTGGGCCCCCTTTTCTGCCCAGTTGCTATCAACCAGAGCCAGCTGAAGCAGATCTCATTGGGCTAGCAATGGCTAATTCCGACTAGGACAGACCGGGCTCACTTCAGCTAGGCCCCCACGAGCCCATGGTCAGAATGAAAATTGGGGGCCAGACTGTGGATTTTATGGTTGATACGGGAGCTGAGCACTCAGTAGTCACTCAGAAAGTAGTGCCTCTCTCAGGAAAGGAGGTCACCATTATTGGAGCTACTGGGGACCAGACCCATAGACCATTCTGCCACCCTCGCCGATGCCAATTTGGCGATCATCAAGTAATTCATGAATTCCTGTACTTGCCAGACTGTCCAGTGCCTCTAATGGGTAGAGACCTTTTAGCCAAAATGGGGGCAGAAATCACTTTTGCTCCAGATGGCTCAGCACAGCTTCGCCTAGGTGAGGAGACCTCCCCAATGATCCTGTCCTTAGCAGTGCCAAGAGAGGAAGAATGGAGACTTTATACCCTCCAAACAAAGGCCTCACCATTAGAACCTGAATTAGAGAAGGAATTCCCGCTGGTCTGGGCAGAAGGGAACCCTCCAGGCCTGGCTAAGGACCATGCCCCAGTGCTAAAGCCTGGGGCACAGCCTATTAAAATCTGCCAATATCCAATTCCAACAGAAGCACACCTAGGAATCCATGTCCACTTATACAGGCTGCTTTAGTGGGGACTTGTTAAACGATGCAGATCTCCATGGAACACACCTCTCTTGTCTGTCAAAAAGCCTGGGACTAATGACTACCGCCCGTTGCAGGATCTACAGGCTGTTAATGAGGCTGTTATAACCCTGCATTCAGCACTGCC